TTAAGCACTGAGAGAAGCGTTTTTAAATTTTATTTTGATGAAATAAATCAAAATTTATTACGCACAACACATCAAGAACAAGAACAGCAACATGCTGATACACCATCATCATCACTGGGTGAAGTGGCCATCATTGTTGTATAATTTCTTGGAATTTATTGGATTAACAGTAAATTTTGGAATTACTCTCCTATTGAAGATGGAACATCAGCAACATCACCAAGATGATCTTCAATTGGATAGTATTGTTTTCAGGAGTGGTTTCACGCTTTTTGTGGGCTCTTTCAACATACCATCATCAGAATGGTCATCATCTTGTTGAGGGAAGATGTTCAACCTTGTTTTGGAAGGTAGAATATCTTACCACCACTCTATTCTCCTATTTTGATTGGATTGGTGGAGGTGTCACCACCTCTTCATATATTACATCAAGTTGAATCTTCCCTCCATCATTTGATGGGGGAGCAACTTCTCCCTTCCATATTGTTTAATAAATTATTGTTATTATCATATAATGATACAATTATTGTTGTTGTTTGTTGTTAATTGTTGTTCTTAATAGAAACCGACAATTCCCCCTTAATAAGTTATACAACCACTTGGTTATTCGTATGAATTATTTCTAGATAATAATGCTATAGCACTGTTGGTTCAGTGGTTGTATGTTGGAATGTCAATTAAGGGACGAGTGATCGATTCAAGGTCATTTTACTAACTTATTCAATTTTACCACCTTATTTTTTTAGATCTTCCTTAATACTTAACAATTTTAAAAGATATTGATACCACATATACAATACTATGTATAAACAACTGTATGTAATTTTAAATTGATTTAGTCAACTATTCATTGAGAAAGAGTATGATCTGTGACATGATGTGTTGACAACTTTACAAATATTAATTTAAACGATATAGTTATTTAGAAGAGTCCTATTAATTTGTAATAAATATACTATATTTCAATTTTCAATTGTTGAATTGATGTACTTAATTGACTTGTCTATTCTAAGGTTACTTAGTTGACTTGAAGATATTGAGCCATGAATTTGAAACTTTCTCAGATTGTTCTCCTCATCAAGAGGAGTCTATTCATATTTGATACTAGTATGATATTTTGTAAACTGACTGAGATGGAGTGTAATCTTTTTATTGAAATGTGTCATTTTGAAAGATTGTTATTATTATCATACTGAATTCAATTCTAACTGTATGAAATTGATACCAGATGTATAATAGAGTGATTAAAGGTATATGGTAAAGTTACAGGATGATTGGATGTACTTTCACTGATATGGAGTGTTCACTAGGATATATAAAGTGTTGAGATTGAACATTTACTGATTAATTTTATGAAAGTAGTTTGAAATGTTTCTAAACTATTGTAGATGTATTTAATTGATGTATAGGCTATGTGGTATTAATTCTAGACTGATTATATGTAAAATGAGTGAGTTGGAGCATAATCTATGATATCATGTCAAATGTCTATAGTAAATTGATAGAGTTGACATGTCGACATCTACTGAACCAATATTCATGAAATTGATATCATATTCTAATTAGAGCGTCTACATGTCATGATATTGATTTCAGTGAAAATGGAATTGTTTCTAGACCCTTCAGCCATCAATCCAACCTGACAAATCACCATGTACTATCCACTGGATGCATTTCTTGAAATGAAAATATGTAATTTGATGAAAGTCCACTTTATTTGAGATGTAGAACACGATATTATCATTTATTTTGAGATTGGTAACTTTTCCTATAGTGTCATCCTTAATTGTCTTAATTGACTAAAAGAGGTCAAGGAGAGATTTCAAAACATAAAATAAATTATATTTTCGAGATGTACTATTGATTTCCAATCGATTGATATGTATTTTGTAGATTGAGGATGTGGTTCTTTATTTGAAGAGTTCCTCCTTAACTTACCAAGTAAACCCTGATATTTCACCCTTTACCTTACTGAATGATGGAATATTCACCAAAATATCTGTAAACTGAACCATATATATTATTAGATGAGTAGAGATAGAATATAAAGTTTATTTTAACATACATATTCATGATTTCATCCCTTTCATACCATCTAGTCAACTATGGACATGGATGAATTTCTGGAAAATGACCACTCAATGAAACATCACCATCATGTTCTACATCTCAAATGGAGCATTTTCATGTATATATTGTTGATTGAAGTGATGTATTTGATAGACTTGATCTGACCTGTCAATCCTTAAAGTCAACCTTATAAAGTCAACCATTATCTTCCTACAGTTCCATTTCTTGTTCTTATGATATGATATTG